AGAGAGAGAGAGAGAGAGAGAGAGAGAGAGAGAGAGAGTTATGTTAGCCGATTATCTTCCGCTGACGAACGCGAGCGAGGTTGCGAGGTCAGGAACAAGCGCGTCTCTCGTGTGCTTTAATCGTGTCTTTAATCGACACTCAATGAAAAGCGACGCGGACCTTAAGCGCGTTCCGGGCAATACGTGTTGATCTCGCGAAAGTTTTTCTGTTTCCGCGCCACGGACAGCAATTGACACGATGACGAAAGAAAAATGAACAGCGACACTAGAATCCACGAGAGCGCAAGTCTCTCGAAGTTGTTTCTCGTATGCAATTTTTCCTCGATATCACCGTGCTTTTCAACGCGTAACGTCTCACGTGACGCTATGTATCGCGCGAGCGAAAAAAATTTGCATTAATTCCTACCGTAACGCACAAAGCCGCATTCGTTTTATCCAACAGTGCGTCGATGATTTCTCTTGTTAGCGCGACCTACATTTTTGAGCTCTGATTGATGCGCGGAAGCGAAGTGCATTGCGTATGCGCGTCGGCGGTAAACGACTTTTCGGCCCATGAGGGAACACGCTTTATATGTCGCTTTGCGCTCAAAATTGTCCTCTGTGATGTGTATAATTGCAGGGGCAGATTTATCGCTGCGCGTTACGCAGACATTTGTTAGTCACATAATGGAGAACGATTTACGACGCGCTGAGAATGGCGCGTGCGTCTTCCCGGGACACGAGGGCGATATATCATAAAGTTATGAAATATATAATGGCATCGCGGCTGTCGTCGGTCATCGCTTATATCGCGGGGGTAAAGATAATATTTGTATGAGGCGTTGCGTAAAGGCCACTCGCGAGATCTATGCTATTCTTCCGCGTGATATACACGGAGAAAATACTGCTGAGAGAAAAATATCTAAGAAATAAGGAATACTTGCTCGCCGCGAGTACTGATAACATATTTACTACATTTATTTATACTAAAATACTTTTAAAATAAAAAAGTATACATCTTCTTAAAACCTTCATCGTAAACAAGAACATTCTTTTGTTATGAGAATATCATTATTTTATACATATGAATCTCTTAAAATGAGGTTACATAGCGTTAAGTGAAGACAAGTTATTTGTATTAATACATTTGATATGCGATTCAACATAGAAAAATATATGCTTATCATTAAAAAATAATTTTTATCATTAGAAAGCACGAAATATTCGGTTGAAAATATAATGTTTTTTTAAAATGCCGGAAGAAGATATCATTATCGTCAAAATAATTATATTATATAAATAATCATACTTTTTATGAGACTATTATAATATTCATATAAAATTATAATATCGTTGAAATTCAAGACTTTCAAAATTCAAAATTTAAAGTTATATATCATTACTTACATATGAGACAATGACTGTCAATTCGAGAATATTAGTTTTAAATGGGTACTAATTTTTGTCTGTGTTAGCTTTTTCACAAAAGCAATTGTTAGTTCTATTTAAATAAAAGAATTTGGATTTAAGTAAATATGTTATATATTAGTGCCCACGGAGAATATATATTTATTGTTACAATAACAATGTTACAATAAATTTCTCCGTGGTCACTAATATATAACACATTTTCTTAAATCGAAATTCTTTCATTTAAATAGAACTAACATGCTTTTGTGAAAAAGCTAACACAGACAAAAATTAGTACCCATTTAAAACTAATATTCTCGAATTGACAGTCATTGTCTCATATGTAAGTAATATGTAAGTAATATGTAAGATATATAATTTTAAATTTTGAATTTTGAAAGTCTTGAATTTCAACGATATTATAATTTTATATGAATATTATAATAGTCTCATAAGAAGTATGATTATTTATATAATATGATTATTTTGACGATAATATCTTCTTTCGGCATTTTAAAAAAACATTATATTCTTAACCGAATATTTCGTGCTTTCTAATGATAAAAATTATATTTATTGTTATTAGCTGGAATAAATTTTTATTTCTCAAATATCTTTTCTCTCAATGTAATCAAAGTTGCAGCAATATTTGGGTAAATTTGGATTTATGATTCTTACAGAATTATAATCGAATTACATATTTGTTTAAAAGTTACGCACGTTCGACTCTTTGCTATAAAATTATTACAATTACTTGAATGTTTTTTTACATCGTATATTTGGTAGATTGTTAAATTTTTATTATTTGTGCGGTATTTAGTATTACAATCTTCATCAATAGTCCAGCTTTATGAAAGACATTGTAAAAAGGAATATAATTTAATTTAACGTAAAATTTACTACAATATTTCCTCCGCCTGTATATGAACCGATTGAGAGATCGGTTTTGATCTTTCAAGAATCGGCACGATAAAAAATGATATAAAATTATATCATTTAATTAATGATATAAAACAATATAAAATTTGAAACTTTTAAAAATCAGATTAACATCCCGAGAAAAAATATCCAATTTTTGTTCAATAATATTAATACATATTGAGAAGAAGAATATCAATGGATTCTGAAGAAAATCACGTCGCTGGACTGAGTGAAGACAAGCTGGCTTTCGTTTTTGCGAGTCAACTTGTGACAAAGATAATATTTGTCTGAGAAACGCGTTGCGTAAGAAGATCTGCGTGATCTCCCGACATGATACAGATATATCAATCGATCCGACGAATCACCGGAGAGGCAAACTGTAACGACCGTATTAATATTCTCTCGATATTAACATTTTTTGTATTACTATGTATGCTGTCCACAATTATATCCGGATCTATTTCCGTAAGCGTGGGTTGTTTAGTATTCGCGCGTCGAATAGCACTGTATCGAGAAGGCCAGGATTATGACGTCGGCCTCTCTGTTCGTGCACGTATTATTACGAGTTTATTATGCAAATCGCATAAAAGCGCCGGTGGTGCGGCAGCGGTGCGGGAGGCAGTGCGTCGCGCGGACGCATGTTACAATGTGTACGACAATATTGGATAATGCCAGTACCGCATGCACTGAGAAGAGAGGCATTTGTACCATAATTGCGCAATGGAAGGATCACAGTTAGGAATGCCACTTTTGTGTAGTAACTAGCTACACAAAAGCTTGC